ACAACGAGAAACTAATTTTTCCTTTTCCCTGACTTGTATGGCAGTTTTGTTTTCTTCCATTCTAAGATATCTGGCAAAGTGAAGACTTGATTGAAAGAAATTACCTGCGGTTCCATTCAAATGAGATGAGAAATGCAGACCACCACTCAGGCGAATTGGGGATCTCTCCTTTGTTCTTCTGAGGCTGCGGTGAGGGGAAGAGTCTTGGCCACGTTAAGGCTCCTGCAACTTAATATTTAATACTTCCCACCAAAGAATCTAACTAATATTCATAAATTCAAGAAAAATCTCTCTATTCTTTAGCCCCTTCCAGTGGCATATTTTCCTCATTCGCATAGTCATGTATCAGGTGGTGTAGCATTCACTCATGACCCATTTAATGTGGTTCTAAAAAGGAATCTCTATTAGCATATCACATCTCAAAAGTAATTGCGATGGATGCAATTCATGGATGTGATTAGTTAACTAGAATCCGTTACCTACACTGAGAACATCATTATGTGGGCTTTGCTAAATGAACTAAAATATCTTGACCAGGGCCCAACTGAGTATTCAGAGACTCAAAGGCAAAGAATCAAAGCAAGCTTACAAAAAAAAATCCTCTAATGAGAATGCTGTGTACAAGTACATAGTCCAGCTTTAAAGTAAAAAAAAAAAAAAAAAAAAAAAAAAAAGCTGAGCAATTAGGCTCTAACACTTTTTAAACAGAGATACATTTTAGTTGTTGGATCACTTTAGAATTTTAGGAGGGAGATTAACACTTTATGTGAGATTTCTAGCAAAGGGAAAAGAGGGATTCTGCATTCAGTAATGGCCCAGAAGGTGGGACTGCGGAGGACCATCTCTTTCCTCTAGGACTGTGTTTTATTTGTCAAAATGAATGTAGGGTAGCAAGTCATTCCTAGTATTTAGTAATACTCTCCCAGGTCAGCAGAGCACCTGTGTGCCAGACATAGCAGAGCAGAGCATGCTGACAAGAACAGAGATGCTGGGGATAGTCTCGCCCGGTCAAATGCCAGTCTCTGGCCATGAGGAATGTTGGGTGAGGCTCTGTTAAGTTATCCAAAGAATGATTAGATATCTGGTATATTTGTCCGTGTAGAGACCCTCTTCCACATCCTACTGAAAGCTATTTAAATTTAAATCCTACAAACGCCATATTCCTGGGAGGAATCTGAAAATCTCTACCTACCAGGGCAGAGGAGAAGGGCTGATGTTATGATAGTAAGTGCATACATTTCTGGTATAGATGTTTGTTTGCCTCTGCTTGTCAACATCTGAGTAGTTCCTCTGTCCTCCCACGTGGAATCAGATGATATCTAGTGAACATCCCCTCTCTTGGAGGCTAGTGTTTATCTTCCAAGTGCTAATATTGAAACGAAGCTCTTGATTCGGGCAACAGTGAGCCAGGGGGTTTCTGAGCATTTCTCCTCTTCTCGAGTCTTCCATGAGGGAAATTACCTTACAAATCGCTGTGCTACTTTTTCAACATAAATCACAAGTGTCTTCCTGGCCAGAAGTAAAAGAGCAAATGTATTTAAATAAAAATTAAAACTATTCATATATCTATTCTCATTTTAACTTTTAGGCATGGTTATGAAATGTTTTTAAAATTAAAAGATAATAAGTTTTTAAAAGTATGTACAAAAATGAAACCATTTAGAGAGTCTATAAGATGCCTGACAAGATTCTTATTTCAATTATAGTTCTTTCTTACATGAAAATTAAATCACTTTATAGAATTAAAAACTGAAATTTGTAAGTTCAGTGAAGATAGGGATCATTGTAACCTTAATACCCAGCAAGTAGTAAGTGGTTAATATTCATTTGTTGAATGAATTAATAGAAGAATGGAATATTGACAAAATCAAAGTCTTATAAGTAAGATATAAATAATAATAAAATAATAATACAATTATATAATTCTTTTTATAATTAAACATGATTTTGATTTTTCTAGTGAAATTTTTAGTGATTTTATCTTTATCTACAAGAAAGACATTCTAGGAAACTGTTATTATGATTAATATTGATAATATATCTAGTTGTTTTCCTGATCTCTATATTTGTGCTGTACTGGCCTTTCTTTTCTTTATTAAACATATTTTCAGACTCATCTCTGTTAAAGAGAACTGTACAATGGCAAGGACAACTGACTCTGAAAAATGACATAACGTGCTGAAAAACAGCAATGGCAAATGCACAAAGCAAACCAGACCGTTTTCTTGGCAATTTTAAAACTTGTCATATCTATGATCATTATTTAACTATAAATTGTCTTATGAAAATTTAGAAAATTAGGTTTATTAATTTTTATTTTTCAGAAGCCTTTTATGTCTCTAGAAAACAGAAGTTAAGCTGTTGTAAAAACTCAGAAAATAATTTAGAACAGTTCTTAGACTTCCATATTTTTTAAACCAGTGTAGACAATGAATCAATATTTATCATCTACTATGTACCAGTACCATGCTAAATACTTCACAGTATGTAGAGTATATTCAAGTAACATATTTCTTATAAGGCTAAAAAATGTAACTGGCAATTATGAAACAAATAACAACTCAAAATGGAAGGAATTAAGTCTTAGCTGATTAGTGGGGGGGAAAGATGCTTGGGAAAGATGTCATGAGGTGGTTGAAACTGACCTTCTGTCTTACCAATATGATCCAGAAAAATGAAAGGAGGTATGGCACATTAGACAGAAGGAACTTGACAACAGAGAGGGGAATGCACATGGCATGAGTAAAATCAGAATACTGGCCCAAGGAGAACTGGTGGTGCTTTATCAGAAAAGTGTATGGGATACTGGAACCCCTTTAGAGCATGCTATCATCTGTTTATTGTTAGCAGAGGTGCGAATGGAAGAAAAGATTTCTATTGGAAGCCAAGTTAAACCTTAACAACATTCACTTATCAAGGAAGTAATCTGAAATATTAATTTTTTCTTTCCTCCTGTGCCCATTATGGGTCTTGACATATGGGCTGTCATTCACCTAGGACCAGTTCTCTGATGAGGCTGGAGAGCAAAGACTGAATTCTTGGCTCCTATATTCAAAAGCCTCAATGTAAGTGTAGTGTATGATTTCAAAAAGATTTGAAAGGAAAAGCAATATGGCAAAATATATCCACACTTCTACCCCAGCTCTCAGACCACAAAACCATAAGCTTTGTAGAAAATGGGAGCAAATTTGGAAGAGAATCAAGAACCTATAGCCTTTTCTTTGTTCTCTGACCCTGACTCTCCTCCATCACTCTCCCCATACGGGAAGGTGGGGAAGGATACAATAGAATTGTCATTTAAATTTTGGTTTCTGATAACAAAAGAGACTCATCTCTTGAACCCTGGGTGAGACTCAATGAAAGAGCAGCCTTCCTAGAGAAGTCCCTGGCACCATCATGATGAAACAAAATACCTCACTGGTTCTGTCTAAACTCTAGTTAGTGATCAAGCCAGTGTCCTCCATGAGAATAGAATTGCTGATAATAGAGCAGAGATGGATAAGAGACAGTGTTAGGGACACGATGAGATCCTTTCAGCATCCCTGAACCCTGAATCACAAGATTTGGGGAGATAACTAGGACATGGAAAAGAAGACCAAAAGATTGGGCCAATGAAAATGCAGCATGACAACCAGAGAACATGGCAACTCACAAACTTCTAAATAAGTAAACCCTGGGAAGATGCTAATGGCCAAACTCTAATATTTTGTTAGGTGAAAAACATGATCTGTGCCTGAAAATCAAAGCAGATTTGTTAATGCTCAAAGACATCTGCATAGGATCAAACACATCAAAATAAGAAGCAAATGGCTTCTTTCCCAATACTATCAAATGACTTTTGAGCAAGATTCTTTAACAGCCTACCCCAGTCCTCCAATTTAGACTCAACTCCAGGGAGAAAAGCCAAGATAAAGTTTCATCCAAAATGTGTCTTGGTTATAAACTAGGATTGCCTGAGAAATTACATACTTTCACAGAATATACCTAGAATAAATTATGATTATGTTTGAGTATATGAAGACTAAAAGCCAGAAAATGTATTTTTTAAAATATATTTTATTGATTTTTTTACAGAAAGGAAGGGAGAGGGATAGAGAGTTAGAAACATCAATGAGAGAGAAACACCGATCAGCTGCCTCCTGCCCAGCCCCCACTGGGGATGTGCCTGCAACCAAGGTACATGCCCTTGACCGAATCGAACCTGGGACCCTTGAGTCTGCAGACCAACGCTCTATCCACTGAGCCAAACTGGTTATGGCCAGAAAATGTATTTTGATTATAGAAAATAGTGTTACATTTTTGAACGTCAGTCCATGTCCTTGAAATGCAAGCCTGCTAAATTCATCTTCAAGGCCCCTCAATTGCTGGTGGCTTCACCTTCCCCTTTGGCTTTCTCCACCCATCCATCTTTCAGGGGCCAAGGCTCAGAGTTATCTAACCCAAAATATCAATAGTGCTGCTGTTAAGAAACCCTGCTATAGCTAATTTCTCTTCATTTCCTAAGTGATAAAATGAACATATTAGTTCCATTTCTTCCTGTGGGTGGAGAGACCAGAAATAGTCTTTCTGGATCCAGCCAAATATCTGTATTGTCTAAATGGAACCCTGGAACATCCAAGGTCATCAACCTATAACTCTTGGCCTTAACGCATAGAATATTGACAAACTGTCATGAAAGTTCTTTTGACTTTTTTCTTTTATCTGTACTGTTATCTAGTGTCTTTGTGAGACACCTCTACCCAAAATACTAGTCTGCTTAGATGTGGCCTACCATCACCATCACCATCAGCGTGCTATAAACAAAGCCTGTTTTTAATTGAATGCTTACCATGTGTCATGCTCTTGATATGCAACTCTTCATTTAATCTGTACAACATTTTGAGGTATGTTTTATTATGCTAAAACTAAGGATCAGAATTAATAGTTATCAGGAGTGTCTCTGCCACTGTGGCTGCCTGTGTTTGCGGGTCGCAGAGAGCAGAACCTGGCGGGCGGTCACGATGCCAGAGCTGGCGGTGCAGAAGGTGGTGGTCCACCCCCTGGTGCTGCTCAGTGTAGTGGATAATTTTAACCAAATCGGCAAGGTTGGAAACCAGAAGTGTGTTGTTGGTGTGCTTTTGGGGTCATGGCAAAAGAAAATACTGGATGTATCCAACAGTTTTATAGTCCCTTTTGATGAAGATGACAAAGATGATTCCGTCTGGTTTTTAGACCATGATTATTTGGAAAACATGTATGGAATGTTTAAGAAGGTCAATGCCAGAGAAAGAATAGTTGCATGGTACCACACAGGCCCTAAACTACACAAGAATGACATCGCCATCAATGAACTCATGAAAAGATACTGCCCTAACTCAGTATTAGTCATCACTGATGTGACACCAAAGGGCCTGGGACTGCCCACAGAAGCATATATTTCAGTGGAAGAAGTTCATGATGGAACTCCAACCTCCAAAACCTTTGAGCACGTGACCAGTGAAATTGGAGCAGAAGAAGCTGAAGAAGTTGGGGTCGAACACTTGTTATGAGACATCAAAGACACTACTGTGGGCACTCTTTCCCAGCGGATCACAAACCAGGTGCATGGTTTGAAGGGACTGAACTCCAAACTTCTGGATATCAAAGGCTGTCTGGAGAAAGTGGCTTCAGGCAAGCTTCCCATCAACCACCAAATCATCTACCAGCTGCAGTACGTCTTCAACCTGCTGCCAGACGTTGGCCTGCAGGAGTTTGTCAAGGCCTTTTACCTAACGACCAACGACCAGATGGTTGTGGTGTATTTGGCCTCCCTGATCCGTTCAGTGGTTGCCCTGCACAACCTCATCAACAACAAGATTGCCAACAGGGATGAAGAGAAGAAAGAAGGGCAGGAAAAAGAAGAGAGCAAAAAGGATAGAAAAGATGATGAAGAGAAAGATAAGGGAAAGAGTGATAGAAAGACAGAAGAGAAAAAGAAGAAAAAATAAAACATGTAACTTTTTAATTTGTAAATTAAAATCTTATAATCTAACTTGTGTGCCACCAGACGGTTCTTTTCATTTAAGTGCTTGTTAAAAGGCTGTATTGATAAGAGCTCTCGGCCCCAAGTCACTCTTGCTGTGGCATTACATGGAAGTGAATGGATAGAGGGACTGATCTCGTACCTAAACTGCAGCATAGGACGCTATGAATTGGTATTAGGACAGCTCAGGCTTCAGATTGTGTGACAAAAGTAAACAGCATTTTGGGTACTCTTCATTCTTTTATCTGTAAAACCAGGAGTTGAATTTTCCCCATCTCAAAAGACTCTTGGGGTCTGCTTCTGGCAGTTTGCAAAATTGCTAAGTGGAATGCGTGAATTCCCAAAGTGCTCTGCCTCCAACGCCTCTGAGTTCCAACCCTTCTCCACTCCGTTGAGAACACCACGCCACGGGACACTTGGACCCTGAGCTCTGGCATTCTCAGGGCTTGGGATCCAGCTCCATGTACTGTTTACCTTAAGGACAATTAAATGGCTTGGTTAAAAAAAACAAAAACAATTAATAGTTATCATTCCAAAGCTCATATCCAAAAGGAGCATAGCCTAATTTGATGATAAAATTGTTCTAATGATTAGTTTATACTTCACTACCCCCTGCCTACCCTTTTTAAGTTAATTACTATTCTGCAGAAAATAATAGTCACATACCATGCTCTCCCAATTGGCTAAACTGGATGGTCCATATTGATCTAACCCCTACTATGACTCCGATTTTGAATCAGGGCTATCTAGAAATGCTCTCCCCCCCCCCCCCCCCCACACACACACACCTTTTCAGACTCATCAGATTGGTGAGTATCATTGAATAACAGCACAAACCTAAACTATATCTAACTTTACACATTCCTTGGACAATTTCATAGTCTAGAATCCAATCTAGACCCCGTGTTGTATTCAGTTGTCACATCTCTTTTGTCTCTTTTATCTTTCTTGAAGAGTATTGGCTTGTTGTTTTATAGAATATCTCTCACTTTGGGTCTGTCTGATGTTTCCTCATGATTCAATACAGTTGTACATGTCTGGCAAAAAATACCAAAGACATAATATTGTGCCCTTAGTCTAGAGATGTAGCCAAGGGTGTGACTGCAGAATCTTTTGTTAAGACCTCAGAGAACTCTTCAGTCATACAAAAGGCCCTATACTGCCACCTTGGGTTGAAAAGTATCGGGACAGCATAAAAGTACAAAATGGCAATTGGATCCCCCAAAATATCAGCAAGTAGCCTGGGAAAACTACTCATTGGCAAAAGTGATGTCTTTCGTGAGAAGGGGAGGATGACTCAGCAGGCAGAACCAAGAAGAGCACTGTTATGGACTGAATTATGTCCCCAAAATTTATATGAAGCCCTAGCCCTCAATGTGGTGATAGGGCCTTTAAAGAGGTAATTAAAGTTTAATGTGGTCATAAAATAAAGTCTAATTGGATAGGACTGGCATCTTCCTAAAAAGAGGAAGCGACACCAAATCTCTCTCTCTCACTATGCAAGCACAGAGGAAAGGCCAGGTGAGGACACAGCATGAAGGCAGCCAACTGCACACCAGGAAGACAGGTCTCAGCAGACATGTTGGACTTCTGGCTTCCAGAAGTGTTAAAAAATAAATCTCTGTTACTTAATCACCCAGTCTGTGGTATTGTTATGGCAGTCTGAGCCAATTAATACAAGCCCAGAGGGCTGAGCCGAAAGAATGCTTGCTGGACCTAATTAGGACATTTCCAAAATTTTCTGCTTAGATTTCAGAACTGCTATGTACCAAACCCTCCTTTATGGCTCCTATTTCCCCTCTTTTTTGACCAGTCATGTTTATAATGGTTATCCTATGCCCATTCCACTATTGTGTGTTGAGTGTGTGAGGAACAGATAAGCTAGATCTTTAGTTTCATGGGCCTGTATGGGAATGACCACATTTAAGAACAAGCCTGTCTAACCTTGAAGGTTAGATTTCATCAAATAAGCTGCATATTTCATATAACTCTTCTTTAGTCCCCAAGTTTTTCAGAAAAATACCTGCTTTATATACAACCTAGACAGTGTCATTTTAGTAGTACAGTAAGTAAAACCATGTAAAGCGGAGTAAAATAGTGCAGGAAAGAGCCTGAGAGATAGCAAGTGAAGGGCAGAGAAAAGATCAAGAATTTAATGCAGCAAGAACTAACTAGAAGTCAAAAGTCATCATAAAAATATAAGCGACACCTCTTACTAACCAACCCAACAGATGTCATTGTAGCTATTAGAAAATATGCTGGGCTTTCAACAATATATGAGAAGAGGAGTCATGAACTTTTTGTTAAATATTAAAGAAAAAGTGGCTTGGGAAACCAAAACTGAGAGGCTAATGTCTTGGGCACGTACCCAGACACAGAGATTCACATACAAATACACCTTCTGCTGATGAAATCAGAATCAATGCTACTACTAACGCTTTTTATCACATCTGTAAGGTCACGATGGCTTTTGTAAAAAATAAGAGGAATCAATTTTGCCACCTGGTTCTATTATATAAGTGAACTCCCATATATGATGGCGCCCAAACAGAATTGGCCTGGTTGAGTATGTCTGCAGAATACAGATGTGACTATTCCTCATGGAGGAATTGCTCATGGAGGACTGTTAAACATGTAATAATAAAACAAAGATATTATATTCAATTGACATGACAATAGATAGCTTTTAAGTCCTAGTCTTTGAATTATAGTTGTTTTCAGTTAAATATGAAGTAGCATATTTTTACCAATTGTAAACATCCTATAGCAAATAAATCCAATTAATTATGTCTCAAAATTAAAACCCAGACTTTTGGTTCCTTTGTTTTACAAAATTGAGGCAGCAAAGACATTGATTTATACAAGAATTCCTTATCCTGGTCTTAGAAACCTAGCTTTTTTTGGTAACAACACCCATGATTCAGAACTCTACTTCAACCCATAAAACTGAGGGTTTTTATCTTAGTCACCCAACTAACTGTACTGGAGGAATATTTTTTTTTCTTGAATTTTATTGTTAAACACAGAGGAATAACATTACAGAACAATTTTATCTTTATTTCCCATATTAACAATAAACCCAAAATATGTATAAGTAAGAGTGTCAATCAAAAAACAATCAAATTTGCCATATAAAGAGTTATTTTTTAATAAAAATATTTTCCTGGTGTGAGTATTGACCTGCCCTCAATTTCTAAAAGGAGGGTGGTTTTGCTTAATATAGTCAAGGGTAAATAATACCTCATTTTTCTCTCATATCCTCTTACTTTATGTGTGAGCCATTGCAGATTTAAAAATTACAAATTGTCATCTCCAGCAACCCATCATATTTCTGAGTTTATCAGAAACATTTTGACATACCTATATGCACACTCATATACAGCCAAAAGCACGTGTGTATACATGGATGTCTATCTGTATACAGGGTGGGGAAAAGTAGGCTTATAGTTGTGAGCACAAAACACAGAGTCTATTCTTATATTATTTATTAATTCTTGTATTATTTTCCATGCAAACAACTGTAAACCTACGTTTGCCCCACCCTGTATATGTGTGTGTACAGAGCAGAGGAGGGGTGGAGAGGGAAAGAAAGGAGTGAAGCATAGAAACCAGCCTACCATGCTCATTCCTCTCTCTGAGCTTCCATTTGTCTTCATCCTGCTCTTCTTGACAGGTGTATCCTTCTACCCCCTCTCCTCATCCAGCTTCTCTCTATCATTACAATCCTTTGCGAGTATTTTCCAGCACACACACTGGCCCTCTGCATTCTTTCTCTTCTTGATGCCCTTGTAATATACAATTCAATACAACACATGACTTAGCATTTAACTACACACGTTGATTGCTCTATGAATGTTCTGTGTGTCAGTTTTGTCTCCCCAACCAGATTATAGGTGACTCAAGGGCAAGCACTCAGTATTACCATTATGCATTGTTACATCCTCTGTTGCTAAGCTGTGTCATGGATGCTAAATAAATGAGCATCGATGTAATGAAATAACAAAAGTCTGATGAGCTTGTAATTTTGATTAAGTAATTATAGTTGGTTCTTACATTGGGGCCTACACTTTTTAGAATGTTTCTACGCATTTCAGACACCCATGTCCTTAATTTGAAATACAATATAGCTTAGTGGCTAAAGCCTCACTATTTTTTAATCCCAGCTCTCCAATTTACTAATTGTGTGATCTTGAGCAAGTAACATATATGTCCTCTGCCTAGACTTGCTTTATAAAAAAGGGATAATGAGAGCAACTAACTCACAGAATCCTGAGATAATTAAACAAAATAATTTACACTCAGCATAGAGAATATGTGGTACATAGAAAGCACTCAGTGAATGCTGACTATTCTGCCATGGTTGACTAAAAGTCATGGTTTTTTATTTATAAACTAGAAGGCTGATGCACGAAATTCGTACATGGGTAGGGTTCCTAGGCCTGGCCAGTGATCAGGGCAAATCGGGGCCTTCCCGCTGCCAGCTGGGGCCTTCCTTTATTCTGCGCTGCCCCCTGGTGGTCAGTGCACGTCATAGTGAGCAATCGGTCTCCCGGTAGAACTCCCATGGGGACAATTTGCATATTAGGCTTTTATATATATATAGATTGGCAACTTGCACAAAGTTGGCTATTAGTGGTTTGAAAAAAAACAATATCATTTTATGTTCAGTTTCTAGAATATAAATAATCTATTTAAGAAGATATGGGGAAGGGAGGTCTGAATTAATCACAGGAAGTTTATGCCAAACACAAGGCAAGAATGATCAATGTTAGCCTGTGCCAAAAGCCTAAAATGGCATGCTTTTCCCCAGGTCTAGACGTTTTTAAGATTCCTTACCTAAGAGAGTTTAGACCAAATTAGTATAGCAAAGTTGATTTCAGGAGCAACCCAAATATAATAACTTGGTGTTAGGGGGTTAATATGCCCAATAGCCTAAGAAAGCATGTAGGTAAGCTGATAGAAATG